ACCTAACAGTCATGTTTTTGGTCTGTGGGAGGAAGCCGGAGTACCCGGAGAGAACCCACGCATGCACGGAGAGATCATTGGCCGTGGACGTCACAAGACATTATACAGACAGACTCTAGTATCATGTCTACCCAGCGACGGAGCTCAAAAGTGTGGGATCATTTTAAGAAAATGAAAGAGAAACCTGTGCAATATCTGCAGAGCAGAACTAAATTAAGCCTTAATTACTTAAACACAGTAATAATTTTTAGTTAGCATAGCTAAAATCTAACCATGGTTATATAAAAGCAGCTGCATTCTGGCACAATAAGCTGTATGTTTTATATTCAATTAACGAATGATCCGATTAGTCAACTAATCGAAAAAATAATCGGTGATTAATCGATTATTCGTTTGTGGCAGCCCTATTAGTAATTTAGACTTATAAATGTCATCGCGTGGCACTAATTACAGTAATTGCAAGATGGCAATTATTAATTGTTGAGTTTTTCTGACAATTACCWGCACACAAYACAATTTTGTCCAACCCTAATTTTAATTAATTACACTTTTTGACTCTGTCWACTGATTAGCAGCTGCAGAAATAAAGCTCTGCAGATGAAAATCACAGATATCCTGTAAGAAATGTTTGCAAAGCTGAAAACCTGCCCTCTTGTACTTTTCTACATGCAGCAAGGAGCTATGGGAGACGTAGAGGTAAACTCAGCTTTTTCCAATGTGTCTGTTTCCTGTGGTTTCTTCTGTTGTGGCATGTTTTATAGTTTCTGTAAACAGGCACCAAAGTAAAGCTTTAAATCTGKGGTTGAGATTTCTACGTTTCTCTGCCTTTATATTCAAAATATTTTATTGACCTTTTTTTCTTGTTATGATGTTATTTATATTATAGAATCAAGTTAAAATCTTGCCAAATGGGTTATAGCTAGTGAATGGAAAGATTTCACTTCAGAAATATTTGATTTCATTATTTTAGTATCTGGACATGGATAGAGTCACTGGTTTCTAAATCAGGTCATTCTAATATGAAAAAGCACAACTGTGCCTCCTCTGACTGGAGCCCCAAAATGTACAAGCCTGTATTTTGAGAAAAGCCAGAACTATCCATTTTGGTCTTTTTACAGTTTTTGACAGCATATTAAATTAGGCTTTATTGAATTATAATTTATAATGTCATATAAAGATATTTCTCATAATTCAGCGAAAGAGAGAAAAAAACACAGCCGTTGACCAATAGACAAGGGTAGCAGCTGCTAATTCTGCTGGTATCTAAAGCTGTCTGCGTCATGGTAATGTTTCATATTTATGCTTGACGTCATGTTGAACAGTAAATTCTGTCTAAGGAACACCTGTCAGTGCGTGTCGATTATAGGTTTTATATGTCAACCATATTTGATGAGAAAGTTTTCTTTATTCAAACAAGTTTGTTTTTAATAAAGTAGGTGAGCAGCCTAGACATGCTAGTCACTAGCCTCTCTAATGCTAATGTCAGCTTATCCATGCTAGTTGCTTGCCTCTCCAATGCTAATGCCATCTTATCCATGCTAGTCACTAGCCTCTCTAATGCTAATGCCAGCTTATCCATGCTAGTCACTTGCCTTTCCACTGCTAATGTCAGCTTATCCATGCTAGTCACTAGCCTCTCTGATGCTAATTCCAGCTTCTCCATGCTAGTCACTAGCTTTTCTGATATTAACGCCAGCTTATCCATGTTAGTCGCTTGCCTCTCCAATGCTAATGCCATCTTATCCATGCTAGTCACTAGCCTCTCTAATGCTAATGCCAGCTTATCCATGCTAGTCACTTGCCTTTCCACTGCTAATGTCAGCTTATCCATGCTAGTCACTAGCCTCTCTAATGCTAATGCCATCTTATCCATGCTAGTCACTAGCCTCTCTAATGCT